TTTCCAAAACCAGGAGCCTGACTGGTGTCCTCTGGTGTCAAGCATCGTGGACAAGTACAGGAAGGACCTCGATTTTGATGAGGGCATGAAGGCTCTGGAATCCCTTACTCTGAAGGTAAGCTCGCCCATTCTACTTTGTTTAAAATACAAGGTTTAAAAAGGTTTAAACGCTGTGATTACTTAAGCTCGGGTTTATATGGTGCAGGCTTTGAGCATTGCCCGAGGCCTTTCTCTGAAGGGGAAAGATGAGGCCCAAAAGACCACCAAACTCGAGGACTCTTCTCGAGCACTGGAGAAGAGGATAGCCGACTTGGAGGCCGAACGCTTTCTTCTTCGGAAGGAGCTCGAGGATTCGAAAAATGATGCCCAGAGAGCTCGAGAAGAGGCTGGAACTGCTAAGGGCGAGGCTGAAGGTTTAAAGCTCGAGATCGAGCGTTTGAACGTTGATTTTGAGACTCGCCTGGCTGAAGCTCGAGGGGTCGCGATCGAGGACTTTAAAATGTCCGAGGAGTTTAACGGCCTTAAGGGAGAGTATGCCATGGGCTCGTACTTCCATGCCTTCAAGGAAGCTCGGGCATTTTTGAGATCGAAGCCCGACGCTAACCTCAAGGATCTAAAGAACATCCCCGAGATTGCTGATACCCTCGAGCTGTCAGAGTCCGAGGAAACCGTCGAGGACCAAGAGGTCGATGTTGACGGCGAGGACGCAGTGGAGGAGCAGGGGAGCACAGCCTCCGGAGAAAGGGCCGAGGACTTAGATTAGTTTTTGTTGTTTTTTTTTTTGTATGATGATAGCCCTTCCATTTTGTAATTTGAACTTGTATTTTACTCGATCAAGTATTTTCCTTCTGCTGTGTCAATGTATCTCGATCATTCAATAGCCCGACGTAAGATGGTTAAATAACTCGACACCTAGAGTAGTTGAAACACCTCGAGGACATAATTCGTGAAAATATTTTTGAATATTATAACGAACACAAATTCATCCCGAGGACTCAAACTGTAAAATTATTTGGGAACATCATTGTTGACCCCGAGCATTAAACAAGTTACCTCGAGGACTAAATAGTAAAATTATCTTGGAACATCCAAGTGTGAACCCCGAGCACGTAGACAAGTTACCTCGACGACTAAAGAAGATTAATTATTTTCGACGACTAATTAATCATCTCGACGATTGAGAATAACTCAATTTTTAAACAAGTGATAATGCCGAGGACAGTGTAGTTTTCTACACACTTAACA